GCGTTCGTGTATGTGTGTGCGGGTGTGTGTGTGTGGGTGTGCGTGTGTGTGTGTGTGGGTTTGCGAATGTGTGAATGCGTGAATATGTGAATGTGTGAATGTGTGCGTGTGTGTTTTTGCGTTTGTGCTTTTGTGTGGGGGGGGGCAATGAAGCCGACAGAGGTGATAACGTGACGTGAATGTCAGCGAAGAGAAACGACATGGACCGGGTATGACGTGGGCGGGCTTAGTGTTGCGACGATGCAAGTTGTGGAAGATTCGTTAAACCGAGATCCTGGGACGGACTGGGGAAATCGGACTACCAGTCGCGACACGATGTGTAGACATCTGTGTAGACGTGCGAGTTGAAATCCATCCGCGGAGGTGATCAACTCGCGGATGCAGCGCAAGGAGTATTTGAGAAGGAGGGACTTCGAGATCGGGGCTGTCTTGTCCAGGGCGGTCGGGCCAGTGATTGTGCTGGGTCGAATTTGCTCTTCTCCCTACGCTGCTTGTCAATCCGTTTGCACCATTGCTGCGGGTGCTCGTGTCGTCCATCGTGGTCCGTCGACCGCTGTCGTCGTCGATCGCTGCCACCCTCGATCAACGATTGTTCGCTGTTCGCTCGGGAGAGGTCACGCGGGGACGGCCCTGGCGGAAGGAGGGGCGCAGGGAAACGCTGAAGGATGAGGCAGGGAGGTGTAGGATTACAGAACTCCGCATGGCAGTCATGATATCGAGCGTGGAAAGGAGACGAAGAGAGCGCCCGAGGCCCTGCTTCGCCCCAAAACAATTGCAGACACCGTCCGGACATGAGGTTGCACAGCGACCCACATGTTCAAGAAGCGCCTGACGCATCGGCGACCAGTTCTCATTAGAGGTGGTTGATGGCGTTCTTGTCGAGCGGTTCGTGGCCATCGTGATCTGTGGTTCTGGAATACCAGGTAAGGTGCAGCCATGCTGAAGCAATAGCATACCACAAAGATCCCTATTGTTGTGATAAGGAGGTATGGGGGGGGGTGATGGGCGCAGCTTTCGGTGTGCGATCGGCGTCGGACCAGACTCGAAGTATGTAGGTGTTTCTGTGTACACATGCATGCATTTGTATGTATATATTCACCTATATTCAAATTGTTATAAGCTCGCAATAATAAAATGGCGTCTCGCGCCATGCTCATTGGCACTTCAAGTTTCGCACGCAGGCGATAGATGGGATATCAAAGAGAGAGAGAGAGAGAGAGAGAGCGAGAGAGGGATTACACACATTATATTCATTACGGGGTAGTAGTATGTTCATGGACTTTCTCGTCGTTATCCTAAGTTGCGTTATTAGACATGTCCTCCAATGTGATATCCCCTTCCCAGCGAACCATTCTCTGTCTTCCTTCTCAGTTTCTGTTTATTGTGGAGGCTCCTTCTTGGAGGGCCTCGCGGGGCCTGGGCGAAAGCAGCTTGGGGCCTCTGGGGTCGTGCTGGGCGCGTTTTGGTGGCCTCTGGGGGGTGTCTTTCGGCCCCAGTTGCTGTCCACCGCGGTCTTCCTCAACGACAGAAATACGATTCGAAGTGGTTTCGGGGGTATATCAAGACCAGATTGGGCCGCCACGGGGCTCTCTTATGGCCGTATTGGAGCCTTGCTGGGTGTTCTTGGACTCTTCTGATGCCCCGTTGGCCCGTCCTGACTTTCGTGGCCTCGCTGGCGGTCTCGGAGGCCCTGGGAGACAGAAGAACCGAACATTCCCACATCATCTAAACCTTAACAGTAACCAGTGACCTTATGCGTTTGGGCGGTCTTTTGGCTGTCGTCGTTGGGTTGTCGTCGGGCGTCTTGGGAGCGTGTGGGACCGCTTCGGGCTCCCGCGGGGGCGTATGACCTTAAGGGGCCCCGGGGCACACACATAAATACACACAAATCCCAGGATTTCCCATATTTTTTCTGTATTTTCTGGGTGTTCGTCTCCCCCCCCACTTCCCTGTATTTACCCATATTCTCGCGGGAGTCGACGATTAGTTGTGTTTGTGTGTTTTTGTTCCCTCCTGATGACCGCCGTCCTGACTTTTCTGGGCTCGCTTTCGAATTCCACCAGGGACGTCCGGGAGTCTTGGAAGGCCAAGGATACGTCCTGCAGGAGCGTCCAAGGAGGGGGCATAAGGAGGCCGAATCTCGCTTAGGAGGGCGGGGCCACGCCTTGCAAAAAATAAAAAGTCTGCTGCGATCGATCTGTCGACATCATGGCCCATCGGCCTCATCATCAGTCCACCGACCCAGTACGCAACTGTGCCTGCACACGTGCATCGAAGAAAGAAAAACGCCATAAACATAAACTTTTGGCGCTCCGCGCAGATTTATTGGATCCGCGCTGGGCCCCCCCAGCGGCGCCTCCGGCGCCGCCCCTGGCGCGCTCCTGGGGGTCCAGATCCAAGACATCCGCGCGGAGCACCAACAGTTTATGTTTATGCAGTTTTTTCTTCTACTACAGTCAAGACGCTGAAATAAAAACCGCTCTGGAAGAATTTCGCTGTTCCTCAGGTTATTCCGTGATTGTTCCTCCAGCCCTCCTCGCGCACCCAGGCGTTTCGAGCGCCAAAACAAAAAGGGTTCGTTCCTCATGTAGCGTTCCTTGTTGCAGCAGCCCCACTGTACTTGTGCCGGCCTCTGATCTCGCACGGCTCCCACATGGAGGGCTGAGGCCGCCCGCACCACACACGTGAATTTCCTCACGGCCTCTGTGCGCGCCGTGCTTCCCTTCCTTCCCCCGTGGTCGCCCTCTCTAGATCCGGGCCGTAGTGTTTGCAGTTCGCCTTGCTGTGACCCCCCTCGGGCTTCGGACGCGGTGCGCGAGAGCCATCGCCGCAACAAGACATGTTGATCCCGACATTTGGCCGATCTCACGGGTATTCGACCAATCGGTCTCACGATCTGTGCATCGATCCAGAATAAATATGTCTTACTATGGTGTCTCCCGTTCTCACCGAAATCTGCATCGGTCTAGTTATTTGTCCAGCTGCCTGCGGCAAGTGCCGCCACCGTGCCAGCCCAGTACTCTCGGAGGCGACTGTCAAGGGGCTGCAGGAGTCTGTAACATGTGAGCCGAGTGGCGTGAAGGGAACAGAGTGCGTTGGCGTTTGGTGCAACGATCAGAACGCCATCACGTGTCATAAGTCGGCCGTCTTGAATTTATCCTGCATCTTGTGGGGTCATTCTGGGGCGGAGTTTGAGGATGAAGGAGACATGATGGGGGATTAGCAGGAGGAGGCGGAGCGTAGTGATGGTGATGAGGTTGAGGAGGAGGAGGAGGAGGAGGAGGAGGAGGTAGAAGAGGAGGAAAGGACGGCCATGACAAGTGCCACCGTTTCGTCTTCATGTCTCGTGAGGCGGTGATGGAGTACATCTGGGCCGTTCTAGGGCTGTGTTGGCCTCCTGTGGGTCAGTCTTGGGGCTCCCTTGAGGCTCTCTTGGGCCGCCTTAGGCCATTTTGGGCGGTCTTGTTCTCTTAGCCAGTCGTGAAACCCCCTTGGCCAGATACGACAACAAGTGGACCCAAGTCGTGTGCAAAGTCACACACGGTACAGACGACAAGATTCGTTTTAAGTTCGCAGGAGTCAAGCCCGCGCTGAAACACCAATGCAAGGACTTATGCAACAAATGTATCGACATCTACACAGGCAGGTGCGCAGAGAAAACCGGGGATATTGCGCCATCGATGGCTGGGAAGAAGGACCCCACAGTTGGCAAACAACATCACAATCGTTGCGCTATGGTTGCTGATGGTTATTGGATGTCGGCGCGCAATCACATGACTGGGGAGACACACCCTTTCGGAATCAGCGGTGCGCTTCTACAACGACATGCGTTGGGATTCCCACAAGGAAGACTACGGCACACTGGTTACCGCTGCGCCTGCTATCATCATCGCCGACCTCAAACACGCTATCGTCGTCGAGATCTACGGGCTAGTCTACCCAGCTCACGATCGAATGCCAGATCAGCACACGCAGGTGAAGGTACGATGCATGAGCCACGGGACCAAGGAGTTACCAGACGACATGAGATTCCATGATCAACCTACCTTGACGGGTGGTTCGAAGCACCCCGTCGGCCTATTGGATCAAACTGGTATTCCAGCTACTGGAGAACACTTCAACAAGATGGGTTTACCGTCGCCGCTCCATCTGTACAACAAGCGTGGGCCTACAACAATTCCAGAGGGGCCGCAGAAGCGTGTACTCGGTGAGCGCTCACCTTGATGCACCAGCCTACGTACACGACTTGTCCCAGAGCATCGTACATACACATGTTCCGCTGTATCGGCTTACACGGTGTATTGAAGCACGCCGTCACACAGCATTCCGCCCTCACCGTTACCAACCAGGGTGTGTCGTCTACAGCGCTACGGATAAGTGGATTCCACTATACGCTACTTTCAAGGCGCTACGCATCGAGTGGCACGCATGACGAGAGTGGCCCGAACGCCCTCCGTCCCATATCCTCAGTCCTTGTCGATCACCGTGAGCTTCAGGACTGCGGGATTGCTTGGAGGGGGCCCTACCCTTCCCCTCTCCCGTCTTGAAAACTTCGGGATCGACTCACCCGGGCGTGGGTGCGTCCCGCGGCCGCGCGCGACGCGCCCCCCCCCCCCCCGCCTCCCGTGGGGCGCCAGCGTGCGCGCAGCCGCGGAGTGAGTTCGCCGCGCGGCGTTGCGAGAGAGAGAGGGAGGGGGAGGAGGGGGTGGAGGAGGGGGAGGAGGAGGAGGAGGAGGAGGATGAGGAGGAAGAGGAGGACAAGGAAGAAGAGGAAGTGGAAGAGGATATAAAGGACGGCTGTCGCACCACGCGCCAGGGGTGGCCTACGCTCGGGGCAACTCTCCTTCGGTAAATTCGGGTGTGTGGATTCGTGAAACATCTACCGGCAACGACTGCGGAGTCGGCTCGAAACCTAAGCGCGCGCTTAGCGCGCGTGAGGTTCTAGTACGCGTATACATACGAATATATATATATATATAGACGAGTGTGTGAATATGTATACAGATATGCAAATCTATATTGTTGTCCCGATGCGTGTCCACCCGTGAGTTGAAGTATGAGTCCAATGCAATTCAAAGAAGATGTCGGTTCCCCCCCACGCACACAGACAACACGTCCTTATCATCCGAACGCTGGTCTATATAGTCGATCGTCCTCTCTCAATGTCCTTCAATCTACCAGCCTTACTGTTTATCGCTCGGCCCCCTTATTACTGACCCGTAGACCCTTCAATTGTAGGACAACCACGGTGAGGAAGCAACCGTGGGCCAACCACGGGACCACCGCGGACCCACCACAGAACGAGTACGGGACTTCGCGGGACAACCGTAGGACAACCACGGGACAGCCACGGGTCGACCACCAGGAACCACGGGACGCTCATGTGATAACCGTGGGACAACCATCGGGGCAACCGCGGGCCCCCCGCGGTACATCCACGGGGCAAACCATAGGACAACCCCAGGCCAAACCCCAGGTCCATTGTAGCCCCTTGGCGCGCAGACGCAGGCGACGCAAGCCGACGTGGACAACCCTCAACTGGGGCAGGATCTCTCTTGCCCTCGCACAGCTTCGCATCCTTGCGCGCACGCGCGCCACGCAGGACACGAAAGGAAATCGGGATCGATTTCCCATGGGGGGGGCGGTCCTTTCACTCCGATCTCACTCCGCGGCCTCTGCTGCACATTCACCAGGGCCCCTTCACCGAGTTTCTCATGATGCACTCCGGGGAAGGACAGGTGCACTGTGGCGTCGGCGATGCTTCCAGGGCGCTGATCTCGGCTGGCATGCCGCCTTACATTGCTTCCCGAAGGACCAGGCGCATAGCAAGCGGAACAGGATCTCTCCGCATCGAGGGCCGACGCAATCCATCTTGGCCAGAGTGCATCCGGACTCAGGATGCAGGAGACCGGCCAGCATCCATCGCTGTCTGCCTCCGCGCCCCGCACTTCAAAGGCGCCCCTTGCATCCCAAGCGTCTTCGGGCGGTCCGTGCCTGCGTCCATCCGTCCTGTCCCATTTGCAACATTACTGGATTGATCGTCCCAGGTCTATGGTTGCTCATCGGGTTCGAAGTGCACGCCTTCTACACCGTTGCCCTGCCGTGGTTTGCGTTCGGCAAGCCCTTGAGACTAGTTTGCAGTGTGCTGGCAGGCTGTGCTTGGTGTTGCGTTGCCTGTCTTGCCCGCAGGCATTGTTCTGCTGCACTCCGCACGCATAGTTCAACTCCAACTCCTTGGGGGAAGGGGGAGGCGTTGACCGATGAATGTGGCATGAGTGTTCGCTATTTTTTCCGAGGCCCGTATCCCAACATCGCTCTGCATAATCGTGCGCTTTCTTGCCGTCTCTCTCTCTCTCTCTCCCTTTCTCTCTCCCTCTCTCTCCCTCCCTCTCTCCCTCTCTCTTCCCTTCGACGACGCCACGCCGGCGCCACCTTCTCGCAGCCGTCATGCGACAGCGCGGCACCCTCGTCGGCGGCCAGCGGCACCAGGCGGTAGAGCTCCACGCGCGGCGGGGCCCTCCTATCCGATGCACACCGGCGGCGGGCGGGCCCCGCGGGAGCCACGGCGGCTCCGTGCCGTGGCGACCCCGGCCGACGTCCTCGTCGTCCTCGTCGTCGGCGTCGTCGTCATTGCCGTCGTCGTCGTCGTCCTCGTCGTCCTCGTCGCCCTGGTCGTCGTAGTCGTCGTCCTCGTCGTCGTTGTCGCCCTCGTCGTCCTCGTCGTCGTCGTCCTCCTCCTCCTCGTCGTCGTCCTCGTCGCCCTCGTCGTCCTCGTCGTCCTCGTCGTCCTCGTCGTCCTCGTCGTCCTCGTCGTCGGCGTCGTCGTCGTCGTCGCCGTGATGCTCGCCGCCACGACCCCGGCGTCGGTTTCTGACACCTCGTGGACCGCGTGGAGCGTCCAACCCCTGCAGCTTCGGCGGCTTCCCGATCGCCAGGTCGCTCCCTGCTCGCCGAGTCCGGGGCGCTTGCGGCGCTCCACCTGGACCGCCCGCGGCGGGGTCGCCGCTGGCCGACGAACGGCGCGAGCCTACCGCAAGCGAGAGGGGAGAAGCCTTCGCCCCAAAGATCCGAGGCTCCGAACAAACTGAAGCGGCCGGTCTTGGCATATTCGAGTTTTTTTTTAACGGGCGAAGAACGGTATAACATAAACTTTTTCGCTGTCGGGGCGCCTGTCCCAGGGCGGCTGGAAAGTTTATACCGTTACGGTGGCACCGTAGGGGTATAAATTTTCCAGCCGCCCAGGGGCAGGTGTCCCCGACAGCGAACAAGTTTATTTTATACCGTTCTTCGCCCGTTAATTTGTTGGGGGGCTCGGGCAAGTTTATTTGCATGGACGGGGAGGGGGGGGGCCTGAGCCTGAAGCAGGCCGAAAACAACTCGACGTGCGGAAATCACGCTAGTCGAAAGGCACTTGCACGCTCGAATTCGATTGAAGAGGAGCGAGGGGGGGGAGCGAACGCCATGCAGGTAAACTTGCCTGGATCTAAAGAAAAACATGCTCATTTCAGCCTCCAGGGGCACTCCACGGGCCCCGGGAGCGTCAAAAAATGGCTCAGGACGAAAGATTGCCAAGAAGTGGTCCACGCATCAAGCTAAAATTGGAGCGCCGGATATCTGGGGGCGGGCCTTATCAAAGGCGGCGGGGCTTCCCAGAAGCCCTCGAAGCCCTCTCGCCTCCTCCCCCTCCTCCCCCTCCTCCTCCCCCTCCTCCTCCTCCTCATGCTCCTCCTGAGACCTTCTCCGGAGACCACGAGCGGCGAACATATCCGCATGCGCGCCCTCGCCGTCGGGATTCCAGTGCCCGATCCTGCGGATACGCGCGGTCGCACGGCTGCGTTCCGCGCGGGGCATCCGCAGACAACAGCGCCCCGTGTGCGCGAGGCCGCGAGTACGGCTCTGTCCCTTCGCCCACGAGAGCAGAGGGCAGAAAGTCCATCCCCACAGTAGTCTCCCCGACAAGCGAAGTCGTTTGGGAAACGCACCCACGGAAGAAATCGAACAGGGCAGGGCTGTTTAGTCAACGCCCAGGGTCTGGATGGTTTCCCTCTTTTGATAGAAGACGCAAGCGGCTTCTTTCCAGGTAGCGCACAGAGAAGACGCAAGCGCGCCCAGCCGCGTAAGCAGAAACACGGCCCCTGCAGTCCACGAGACCGGCCTCGTGATACGAGCGTTCGCGCAATGCGTAAGTACCCTCTCGAAACCAGCGTGGATTCATGTACGCGCACGTCTGTCTTTCGCTCCCGATTCTCATATGGTACGCACAGGGACATACCTGGCGGCGCGCGCTCGACCCGAACATACCGTATTACCCATCTTGCCATGGACTCGTTTCCCGAGAGGTGTAGGCCAAAAGCGCCCGCCCCGACGCATGTACTGAGAGACTTCTCGGTGCGCGCGTCGCCCCCGGGGGGGGGGGGGCGACGCACACATGGTACTAGTATGCTGGGGTGATGCCCATTCAGAGACGCCGGGACTTCTTGAGAGCGCGGTCGCATTCTGAGAAGGATCAAGAGGAGGAGGAGGAGGAGGAGGAGGAGGAGGAGGAGGATTCCTCTCTCTCCTTCTCTCTCCCTCTCTCTCTATATCCCTCTCTCTCTCTTTCACTCTCTCTCTCTCTCTCACTCTCCCCATCCGTCTCGCCCTTCCTCCTTCCCTGCTCACTCGCAATGCCAGCTCAAGGTTGAATGTCGTGATGCCTGGCGCGAATCGCTGTCACTCTCGAGAGGCAACTTTGCGCGAAGGGTTGCCGGGTGGTCGTCCCCTCCATCACCGCCCTGGACCAGAGCGCAATGAGGGCACAGCAGGCGAGCAGCGTCTTCGTCCAGCTCTTAGTGCACACCTCGTGCGGATGCTTCCGAATCTCGTCCCCGCGAGCGCAGCGAGATTCGGAGTCTCGGCCAGGGCACGACGCCGCTCACGAATGGGGTGGTGCCGATAAAGACTGCCCGCTTCAGCTCGCTCGCGAAGGTGCTGTGGCCTCCATCGTGCGGGCGGCCACCCCCTGGGTGGTGGGACCTTCAAGCGGCGCACTGGCCCCATGGCAGCAGGCGCTCGCGCACGTGCCCACGCTCTGGCATCGCTCGGACGTGTCCTTTCTTCTCTGCGAGAACGCTCGGCATTGGGGAAACCAAGAGGTACCGATGCCGCTACTCCCTGGACCTCTCCTGGGGTGCGTTCTGACAAGAATTTCGAGACGAACCCAGCGGTGGCGACGAGATCCTCCTAGAAGGCCCACAAAGGGGGCAACGAGGGAAGGGTAGAGGTATGGGTGCCTTTTCCTCCGAGGCATCGCTCGGACGCTCAGAATCGCTCGGACGGGTCATCGAGAAGCAGATTGTGGAGAAGTGCGCGCGGAAAAGTACGCGCGCGAGGAGGAGGGGAGGAGGAGGGGGAGGGCGGAGGAGGAGGAGGAGGAGGAGGAGGAGGAGGAGAGGAGGAGGGAGGAGGAGGAGGAGGAGGAGGAGGAGGAGGAGGAGGAGGAGGAGGAGGAGGAGGAGGAGGAGGAGGAGGAGGAGGAGGAGGAGGAGGAGGAGGAGGAGGAGGAGGGGGAGGAGGAGGAGGAGGAGGAGGAGGAGGAGGAGGAGGAGGAGGAGTGCATCGTGAGTCATCCTGCGGAGAGGTACACGCGCGCGAGATCGAGCCAACAGCGCACGGGGGGCGGACGCCCGAGCGAGCGGCAGGGCCAACGCAGCAGGCGAGGCAGGTCGGCGGCCACGACGGGCCGCGCCTCAGCCTCGGAGGGCTGTCGCGTGCAGCGCGGCGTGGGCAGCCAGCGCCTCGTGTCAAGTCGGGCGCGTGCCCCCACAGGGGAGACGTGCCAGACGCCGTCCGGAAACGGTCCGGGGACGATGTGTTGGTGCACTGGTTTGCCTGTGGCGGATTCGTTGTTGATGTATGTTCACTTGTCGCCCCAAAGCCGCCTGAAATTGTCAGGGCGAGCGCGAGATGGCCAGGCTCCAAGCGAAAGATAGAGAGAGAGAGAGAGAAAGAGAGAGCCAGAGAGAGAGAGAGAGAGACAGCGAGTTTCACGGGCGCCTGGGTGCGAACACGTCAACGAAGAACCCCCTAAAAGGGTCAGGGCGAGCACGAGATGGCCAGGCTCAGACACACAGAGAGGGAGAGAGAGAGAGAGAGAGAGAGAGAGAAAGAAAGAGAGAAAGCGAGAAAGAGGTAGAGAGAGAGAGAGAGTTTCACGGGCGCCTGGGTGCGAACAAGTCCTCGATGCGGTCGACAATTCGGGTGGGCGGGGGGCAGGAGTTTCCCCCCCCCCGCCCGACCCCCCCCCCCGCCCCAGCATCTCAAGCACCTGGCGAGCGATGCCCCTCCCCACCTCACGCAGAGCCCCCTTCTTTCTGCAATCCCACTCTCTAGATTTGAGCCCAGATTGCGAATTAGGCTGTCTTCTCATCGACGGCTCTCTTCTGCTGTCAACCCCACTCCTTGTCACTGCATCGTGCTCAAGCGTCTGCCCCTCTGCCAGTGTTCCATCGTCTGTCCACCGCCTTCTGTCTCCTTGCGTCCGCCCCCTCACTTTTTATGTCCCTGCCTTCTGGTCCTCTCATCTTCGGTTTATGCATGAGGCCACGCTTCATAAGCATCTCCCGTCGGCGCCATTCCAGGTCGTGTCAGTGCGAGGGCAGAGCATATCTCCTGTCCCTCGTTGCGCTCTGCCCCCCCCCGCTGCTCCTCGCATGACCGTTCCCCTGAAAGGTTTTTTTCCAGTGCGGATCTACATGGATTACGCGTTGACGACGTTTACAGATCCTGGCAGGCCAGCTCGGCTTCCAAGACAGCGAGCAACCAGTACCAGGTACGCCACAGTGCGAGCGGACTTGCGCCATATGTTTAAAGTATGTGATATCTCTTTCTCTCTCCAGGCGTATCGAGCATCGCTGTGTCTGCCTGTCTGCGTTTCCATTCGGTACACGCTCGCACCATCCAGGGCAAAATGTAGAAAAGGAAATGACGGAGGCCGTCAGGCCAGGACGGTCGGTAAACAGCCTCCTATAGTGCGTCTTATGGGGATGCCTAGTGGCCTCTTGCGGAGAGCCCAGGGGCAGCATTACCAACGAGGAGAGTGAGGGGGGAGAGAAGCGTGGCCACTGCCACCGCCACCGCCACCGCCATCAGCACCCTCCCTCCTCTGCATCCTTCTCCTTCCCTTGCTCCTCGCACCCTGCCCCCGCTCCACGGCACGCCTGGACGGTTGGCATATCAGCTGGTCACGCGGCCCACTTGCGAGGGCGGGGGGTCGATCCAGGTGCCCGAGGTGACACCGCCGCCGTGCCACCCGACCACTCGTGGTTGGCGACCCTTCGAGCACTGCCAAGACGGGCCATCACGTGTGACACCTCTCGCCTCCAGTTCTGAGAGGAGCTCTCACGGAGCTTATTCGGGCCGTCCTGGGGGTGTTAGGGGCTCCTTTGGAGCAGTCTTGGGGGTCACTTGAGGCCCTCGCTGGGCGTCTTGGAGCCCTTTAGAGCCGTCGCGGGGCGGCCCTCTTGGGCCGTCTTGGGGGTTACCTGGTTCCGTCGTATGGCCGTCTCGGGGCTCTCTTCGGCCGTCTTGGGTCCTTTTCAGGCCGTCTTGGGTTCTTCCGGAGGCACTTTTTGGGGCCAGCTTGGCGCTCTCTTCGGGGCGCCTTGGGGCGTCTCAGGGCCCCCAGTGGGCCAGTTTGAATTCCCGACGACTGGAATTGGAGCGGCATTTGAAATTGAAATAGGTAAGAATGTGTTTGCCATTTCGAGGCCCTTTGTGAGAGCATCCTCAGGAGTCTTGGAGCCTTTCCGAGCCTCTTGAGACCCACCATGCCCTTCCCTCGGACTGCTGAGTGTCTGCGAAAAGAATATAAGTGGGTTATTTTGGCGGCCTTGGTGGCCCTCTTGGAATACTTGAAGAGTTTCGGAGGGCCCGAGGGGGGCGCCGGGGCGTTCAGGATCCTAGGGAGGCGTGTGGGGGGGTTACATAGAGGATTGCAGTATCTCTGCCAGGCAGCACTTGGCATCCTACAGCGCCTCAACGTGCCAAGATGTACGGTGGCGGATCCCAAACGACGCGGCGAGTTCACACGTTGATGATATGCCTTCCATTGGTAGAACCAGGTTTTCCATTGAGTGCAGAGCGTCATTTCGCCAACGCCCCACTGTTCAAATGTGCTGACGTGAACATCTGGGCCGATTTCTTGGCAAATGTCCATGCGTGATGGAAGTGCAGTGGCTGGTTGAGAACGTCTGAACAATCATGGGTGTTGTCAATTGCGACTACGCATGTAACTCGATTGAGTAACAGATTTCTGTGGTCACTGAGTTAGACGATCATTCCATGCACAAGTCACGAATCCGTAGCAGCAACATGTTGCTGTTATTGTTGAGGCGTGGTTCCTGGCAGTCACACAAGCACTTCCCAGATGGAATATGCAAACCGTATGCATCAACGAGTGCGCGTCGTATTCCCCAGACAGCGGTTACACTTAGCACTTGTCTTCTAAGGAACTGGGCCTGCGGGTTGGTCTGTGGCGGCTATGTTGTCGCCCTCGTCGCTGTTCATCGTCTGGGCCTTCAGGTCGGCGTGGCGACTATATCGTCGCTGTCGCCGCCTCGTCGCTGCCCGCCGCCGCCTCGCATAAATTCCATTTTCGCAAAAATAGAAATTTGGATCTAGTCCGGATTTTACCACCACCACCACCATCACTGGATCCTCCGTTGCCTGTGGGATCGTAAAATATACATATGATTGTGCCTCATCGCTCATTTGAAATATGAATTCTTACATCCCCAGCCAAACCGGTTCGCCCCCCCCATTGTTATATGATTGGTCAAGCCGTATGATGCGCGCACACATTCGTTGATGACAAGTCATTTGTATCCAAGAATATGTTACAACAGCTTTGGCGAAGTGCACACGCGCGCGTTGTCGCGCCCGCATGCCGGGGCCAGTCATAAGCTTAGAGCTTCGCACGTGCTTCCACATCGAATCTCCGAGCACACATAAAGCACATCGTCTTACAACCTGCATTTACAGAATCAAACAAAGTGTGCGCGCGCTCGTGCGAGTTTTAAAGATAACATGTTGCAATCGTGCTCGCGTTCGTGAGAATATTACCAAACAGGCCTCTCGCGCGCGCGTTTCAAAATCTTTCGACCGCTCTTGCGCGCGTGCTGGTACGTACATGATCGCTGACAACTTACTACCACTCGCACCACTCGCGCGTCGGTCGCGCGCGCATTTCGAGGTCTTCATAAGCCCTTCATCACCGACACGTGGTCACCATCATCGTCATCAGCATGAGCGGCATTGTTGCGGTCATTGGCCTTGCCGTTATCATTGCCATCGTCGTCGCCAGCACCCCCACTGCCACCATGGCGCCCGCCGTTTTCGACGTCGCAACGGCACCGCGCTCGCCCGAGGCACCGACGCGCGCCGAAGCGCCCGCGCGTCAGCGCGGCCTGCGAGACGCGCAGGGAAGACCGCGGCGGCCAGCGGCACCGCGGCCGCGTCGGTCGCGCCAAATTTGCTGGCCGCTCGGCGCGCGAGCCCGCGCGCGCAAGCGCGGCCGCGGCGACGTGCCGGCCAGCGCCAAGCAGTCATCGCAATTTCCGCCGCGTCGGTTTCGCAAACCCAGCCCCGGGCGGGCGGGATGATTGCGCGACCAGCGGGGTTGGCGAGGTCGAGCTCGAAGGGGTGAGTTCTTTCATCTAGCCAGGAATTAAACTCCGCCGCCCGCCCCTGGGACCCCCCCCCGCGGGGACGTGCAATTCACGGATGGCCCTGCCTCGTCGTCCACTTCGAAAACAAATTTACCATCCTAGCCGAGCCGGGCTCGACGCCCTCCTCCGCGCCACTTCCACATCATTCTTAGCAGGCGATATTGCGCGCGCGCTCGTCTCACACAAACCATTAATGTCCAGGGCGCTCTGGCAGAACAGCTGGCAAAGTGCGCGCGCGCGCGTCTTTGCGCGCCGGGTTTCGCAGGGATTTGCGCATCGAGGTTCGCGGCGCACTTGATAGCGCATGGCCCTGCAGTTTGAATGTTCAGACACACGGCATGCGCGCGCCCTTGCGAATTCATTGTTTTGCAAAAAAACAGCGTCAGTGTGCAGTCGCCCGCAAATCGTCAAATGCGCCCAAGCGGGTTTCTCGCGCGCGCGCGCGCGCCAGAATCATTCGAACGCCCTCGCGCGCGCGCGGGGCGGGCGGGGGCGCGACCCCGATCAGATAGCGCCGCGCGGGCCACTTGCGCCCGTCGGCCGCGAGCGCGTGTCGAAACCCGCCCCAGACCTTCATCGCAGAAACGCGGGCGCCGTCGTCGCTGTCAGCGCGATCGACGCCGGCGCCGCCACTGCCTCCGCCGTCGCTCTCGCCATCGTCGCCACCAGCGTCGCCGCCATCATCGCAGCGCCCGCCGCTGTCGACGTCGCCGCGATGCCCCGCCCGCCCGAGCCGCCGATTCGCATTGGAGTGCCCGCGCGTCAGCGCGACCTGCGTGACCCGCAGGGAAGACCGCGGCGGCCAGCAGTTCCGCGGCCGCGTCGGTCGCGCCAGACTTGCCGGCCGCTCGGCGCGCGAGCCCGCGCGCGAAAGCGAGGCCGCGGCGACGCGCCAGCCGGCGCCGAGCAGTCATCGCAATCGCCGCCGCATCGGTTTCGCAGACCAAGTCGCTGGCGGGCGGGCGGGGTGATTGCGCGAGCACTGGGGTTGACTGCGCGCCCCGAACACAATTTGATGTTCTCTTCGACGTAGGAATTAGGGTCAGCCGCGCCCCCGAGGCAGGAATTGTCGGCCCCCCCCCCCCCCCTCCCATGGGATGTGCAATGCGTGCCGGATTCTGCACAATCGTTTTTTCTAAACACAAGCTTACACAACCCCGGCCAGGCTGCCAAATCCGACCCCCCCCCCCCCCCCCCCCCCGCACACCCCACCCACGCCTACCATCCCGCGGGGGGGGGGAACATAGAAAACGTTCGCGCACACTCGCGCATTCCGCTTATCAGAAATTGCACTTTATATACAAATAGCCGTTCGCAAAGCATGGGACGGCGCGCGCGCGTCGCGGCGCTGGCACATCAAAATCGTTCATAAAGCGTTTTGGCGCCACGCACATTGCGCATCGAGCGCCCCGAACACATGGGGGCACATGGATTCCCATTGCGACTGTTCACCAGAAGCTGGCGCGGTTTTGCGAAGAATTAAGAGAACCGTACCTCTTCGTTGTTTAACATGTCCACCAGGCGACCAACGCACCAGTCGCGCGCGCGCGCGCGTCGGAATCATTCAAACGCCCCTGCGCGCGCGCTGGGCGGGGGGGGGGGGCGCGACCCCTGTCAGGCAGCACCGCGCGGGCCGCTCGTGCCGGTCGGCCGTGCGCGCACATGGAAATGCCCCAACAAAAATCATCGCCGAAACGCGGGCGCCATCATCGTCACCGGCGCGATCAGCATCGGCGCCGTCGTTGGCCTTGTCGTCGCCGTCGCCACTGTTGCTGTCGCCGCCAGCATCGCCATGATCACCGCTGCACATGTGCTGCCGACGTCGCCACGGCACCGCGCCCGCCCGAGTCACCCACTCGCACAGCAGTGCCCCGCGCCAGCGCGGCCTGCGAGACGCGCGAGTAGCTGGCCGCTCCGCGGGCGGGCGGGCGCGCGCAAGCGCGGTCGTGGCGACGCGCCAGCCAGCGCCGAGCAGCCATTGCAATGGCCGCCACCTGGGTTTGGCAAACCGCGTCGCGGGCGGGCGGCGTGTGGGGTGATTGCGCGAGCAGAAAACCATCAATTCCGGCAGTGTGAATTGCGCCGTGTACGTATCACCGCGTAGGTTATTTTCATCTAAAGCAAAGAAATTAGGATCGGCCACGCACGCACCGCCCCACCCCCACCCCAAGATCCTAGATTCCCCGAGGGAGCAACACAATTTTGGTTAGCCCAGCTAGGCGGGCATCGCACCCCGCCCCCACCCCCCAATCGTCTTCGTCGAAGCAACGGCATGAGCGCGCATTCATGTATCCCAAACCGTCAACTGTCAAAAACTCCTTACGACAGATGTGATTAAGTCCACGCGCGCGCATCGTCGCGCGAATGCCATAATCACACAGATAAGCGAGTGGTTCTGCAAAGATTTCAAGATCGAGCTTCCCGGGACTATTTCAACGCCAATGTTTGAGCCATCTGTTCGTTTATAAAACGTGTGCGCGCGATCTTGCGAACTTTGTTCTTACGAGAACCAGGGGTTCCTTCCAATTTCCATCAGCTTCGACACACCGTGCCTCTCGCGCGCGCATGTCGAAATCATTAGAACGCCCTTGCGCGCGTCCAAGCGAGGGGGGGTCACGACATTTATCAAATAGAGCCACGCGGGCCATTAGCGCCTGCTGGCCGCGCGCGCATCTCGAATTCCTTCAAGACTTTGATCCCTGACACGCGGACGCCATTATAGTCGCCATCGCGATCAGCATTGGCGCGGACATCGGCCTTGCCGTCGTCATCGCCGTCGTCGTCGCCACCGTCTCCAGCATCGCTACCATCATCATCGCGTGCGCCGTTGCCGCCGTCGCCACGGTACCGCGCCCGCTCGAGTGACCCACTCGCTCTGACGTGTCCGTGCGTCAGCGCGGCCTGCGAGACTCGCTGGGGGGCCCCCGGCGGCCCGCGCCGCCGCGGCCGCGTCGGTCGCGCCAGGCTAGCCGGCCGCTCTGCGGGCGGGCCCGCGCGTCCCAGCGCCGCCGCAGCGTTGCGCCAACCAGCGCCGAGCAGTCGATGCATTGGCAACCGCATGGGTTTTGCGGACCAGGTTGCGGATGGCGGGAGGCAGGGTTGCGCGAGCAGCGGCGTTGACAATCTAGCGCGAACAACCATTTCATTGCATCGTGCAGAGTGCGCCACGTAGATTCTCCTTTCTGCAAGAGCACTAGGACCATCCACCCCCCTTCCCTCCCCCCCGCCCACCCCCAGCACTTAACGGTCCGTGCGTTTGCATTGCAATGTACATGTGTTTTTGCCCCACCGTCCATCCGTAATATGAATTCGTACCGTCCCAGGCAGTCGTCGCCCCCCCTTGCATCCATCCTCTGCCGAAGAAAATCCGCGCACACTCGCGTATTAGAAGCCGTCATAATCAATAATCCGTTGCACAACGTTGGACTAATTACGTGTACATGCGCGCGTCGTCGCGCGCATGCTGGAATTCGTCATAGTCTTCAGGGTTCACGAGGATTTCAAAATCGAGTTGTCCAAAAACATGTTCTTGACACATTTTGTCTCGCGACATGAATCTTCAAAAATGCTTTCGGTCGCGTTCGTGCGAATTGTGTGGAAAAACATCGTTTTTTTTTCAATGTGCTCTTCAAATTCGACAAAACGTGCCTCTCGCGCTTCTTCCGAAATCATTCGAACGCCCTTGCGCGTGTGCTGGGGGGGTGGCACCATCCCTGTCAAATAGTACCGCGCGGGCCACTCGCGCCCGCTGGCCGCGCGCGCATCTCGAAATTTGTCCAAAACCTTCATCCCCG